ATTCAGTTCCTGTTGGAGTTCATAAGGGAGAAGCTAGGAAGATGGTATTGGAAAAGGAGAGGAGATGCGTTGAGTCTTACAACTCAACATAGTCGAGGTGTTGAACACTTGCTTGCTGTTCGCGAGGAGATCGCAGATACTCTAAGAGTCCAACAAATTGATGGATGGAAGTTCTTTGTGAAAGGTGGCCATAGAGACTCCAATGTTGATCTAGAGCTTTCCAAGTGTGATTGTGGTGTCTATCAAGTTGAGAAAATCCCTTGTTGTCATGCTTTAGCAGCTGGTTCGCATATCTCCACACTTGTATCTCCGGTATATTCAAGGCATACTTTGTTTGCAGGATATTCAGAGAATATATATCCTTGTGTTGGACAACAAATTGAGGCACGCACATGCTTTCCTCCGAAAATAAAGCGTAGTCCAGGGAGACAAAAGAAATCAAGATGGCAATCATGGTTGGAGCTATCCAGGATGAGAGGACACAAACCCCGGAAGCAACACAGGGTTTATAGGTGCTCAGGATGCAAAGAAACGGGCCATAAGCATCCACAATGTAAGAACCCGGTTGAAGAATAGCCTTAGAGTAAGTCGTCCAGACGACCTTCGATTCAGTCGTCCAGAAAAAAACTTCACAGACGACTTAAAGTTAAGTCGTCTGCAAGTCGTCCAGAAAAAAACTTCAAAGACGACTTACAGATGACTTAGTTGGATGTTATGTTTTTATTTATGTCTTTAGACGAAGATGGATGTTATTTATGTCCTTATTTATGTCTTTATTTATGTCTTTAGTACTCTCTGGATGTTATTTATGTCTTTATCTTTAAGTCGTCTGTGATGTCTTTTTTCTGGACGACTTTCAGAAGACTTAACTTTAAGTCGTCTGTGAAGTCTTTCTTCTACCCGACTTTCAGACGACTTAACTTTAAGTCGTCTGTGAAGTCTTTTTTCTGGACGACCTTCAAATAAGTCGTCCAGACGACCTTCGATTCAGTCGTCCAGGACTTTACAGACGACTTAGTTGGATGTTATGTTTTTATTTATGTCTTTAGACGAAGATGGATGTTCTTTATGTTTTTATTTATGTCTTTAGACGAAGATGGATGTTATTTATGTCTTTAGTACTCTCTGGATGTTATTTATGTCTTTATCTTTAAGTCGTCTGTGA